ATGCTTAATCAAAATAGATTTTCTATTAGTAGGGCTATTCAGCCATTTCTGGGATAGTATGTTCCTGTATGGCTCAGTAAGGTTATTACATATTAGCTGGAAACATCAGAGCAGATCAGCACCTAGAAGAATACTGTCATCTTTACACATAGCTGCAATCTTATCACAAACATATTAAAACACCCTACTTAATACACTGTTCCTACTAACTTACATTGTTATGTTTTAAAAATTCCTTTCCTGTGGAGATGTACATTTTACACCATAAGTGTTAAAATCCTCATGACTGAAACTTTTTCCACCTGACATTCAGGAAGCGCATAGCTTTTTTCAGCAATGTGTTGCTCAGGTGTAAATACATTTGCTGTCTTGATAGTCCACTGTTAGTGTGTCTGATAGGTTTTTACTTGCAAATCTGATAATACTGTTTATCTGGGAGATAAAGAATTGAGAGGAAGATGGCATGTGCACACAGTCTCCTCTGCTTGTAGGAGAGATCACCGAGAACAGTGGGAAAGGGAAGGCTCCACTACGTGCACATGGACCATGTGCAAAACTTCCCCTCCTCCATTCTGTCTGTCACTGAGAGATGACGGCAAGGCCCTGCCAGTAACTCCACCATCGCTTTTTGACACATCTGAGGGCATGAGAAAGGCAGGACTGGAAACAGAGAATTAGTAAGGTCACACAGATACATTCTCAGCTTGCAAAAGGAGGATCTCATCCAAACATTTCCTGGATGTTGCAATTGTTTTCCATTATGTCCCTTCTGCTCCTGTTTCTTTTTTTTTCTTGCTCCTGTTTCCATACTTTTTATGCCTATAGCTTCATATATAGTTCTTTTTTCTTCATTTCTACTCATGTTGTCGCCATCATTACTTACCAGAACCCCTTTCTTTTCTCTTTAAGAATATTAACTTCTGCTGGTGCGCTCAGCCACTTCTCTAAAGTGTTTCTGAAGTCTGCACTATCTGCCTCTTTCCATCAAGAGTCATGATGGTCTTTTTTTCTGGTGATGGCTCAGGAGTGTGTAATAACAAGCAGCAAAACAGCTGCTGGGGCAGCAACTATGGAGAGTTTTCCAGCTGCCTTTGAGTAGACAGTCACTGGGGAGCCTCTAGTATCAGTCAGTGTGTTTGAGAGGACTGAAATCCTTTAAGAGGATAATAGCATCTGTAAGAACAGGTCTTCAGTGTTGGGATAACTCAGTGAAGCCAAGTAAGATTTAAAAAGCATAGATTATATGTTTCTCTAACTGTTCAGTCTGTAAATAAAAGCCCTGTGAAGTCAACCACTTCTGGAAACATACAAACCCAGGCCGGCCTTTCGTCTGTCCCCTGGTAGTCTGCAGTGGAGTGAGTCATCTGCGCGTTTTCTAGATTCTTCACCATTCGAGCAATCAGTTCCCCAATGTGGCTCCGAGGAGCTGATCCATAGGAAAAGCCTAGGTTATCCTGGTACAAAGAATGGGAGAAAAGTATGATGCAGAAAGATGAGGCAGGGAGAGAGAAGATAAATGATACAAGAAAGATGAGTGGTAAAAGATAACCTAAGTAACTTCTATCTCATTACATGCTAGATGGTCCATACTTATCTACAGTGGTTGACAGCACTGGTTGTGCTGCCTTCACTGCAATTTCATGCTCCATGATGGTTAATAGAATAGAATAGACTATTTCATTTTGAAGAGACCTAAAGAATTCATGTAGTCAAACCACCTGCCCACTTCAGGGCTGACCAAAAGTTAAAGCATATTATTAAGGGCATTGTCCAAGTGCCTCTTGAACACTGGCAGGCTTGGGGCATCAACCATCTGTCTAGGAAGCCTGTTCTAGTGTCTGACAACCCTCTGGGTAAATAAATGCTTCCTAACAGCCAGTCTGAACCTTCCCAGCGCAGCTTTGAACCATTCCCATGTGTCCCATCCCTGGATCCCAGGGAGAAGAGATCAACACCTCCCTCTCCACTTCCCCTCCTCAGGAAGCTGTGTTGACAGCAGAGGTTTCTTAGGTCACTGACTGAGCCGTGCTCCCAAATCCAGAACCCAGCCCTAGGAACAAGTAGGCGCACACAGCTCCACACACGTGTAAATATTTTCAAGAGGAAAGCCCAAATAACCTGTCCCAAACTGTCTGATGTCGGTACAAAGGGATCCCAGGTGCTCACGCTTGGACTGAAGCTAGTTCTTTTCCTTTCACTTTTCAATTAACCACAGTAAATTAAGTCAATTTAAGACTGTTGGCAATTGAAGGGTTGATTTTCTGAGTGTTTGCACACTTAGCATCTTTGACATGAAGATCTGTGTATTAATAGGGTTGCGGCTCCCCCCTGATTTTATTGGGTGAGGGAACTGAGGGTGGGGGGTGCTGGTTTTGCTGATCGCATCCCTTCTCCCCACCTCCATGTTCTGGTTCTGTTAGTTTCCCTTTTAGCACTTGCTATTGGATAATGGGTGGTGTCTAGTGGAGATTACTCCATCTCATAGAAATGGATGCTTGCTATGTGGACTAAACCAAGCAGTTCCAAAAGGTGGCATATATTTGATTATGGATGGAGAGGTCCCTCCCCTCTGCCATTTCTTATGGCTCATCTGCAAAGTTCATATGCACTCACATCAATGGAGCTCGCCATGAGGGATCCTCGGTCAATGGCGTGTTTCATGATTTTATAGATATCTTTAGGGGCATCCTTTATTTCGTAGAACTCTGTGACTCCTCCTGTGAAGTCCTCCATGGCTTCTGTGGTGTTGCCTCCTTTCAAAGCTTCGTATGACCCATGGAGTCTTGGAAAGAGAAAGGGAAAATAAGATTTTCTTTTACAGAAATAAAGATACCTACTTATATTTTTTATACATATTTATCTTGTGTATGTGTATAAATAAAGATATGTAAACACACATACTAAAAAAACCCCACAAACCTTCTGTTTGCTAACCCCCAAGTTGAAAGTTTTAAAACACTCCACCTACACACATCAGGAAATAAAAATATTGAGAATCAAATGCAGACCTCTGAATGAGCAGCAAAACCCCCTAGAACATATGTTTTACTCCATCCCCAATTCTGAGGCATGAGAACCTATGGGAGATAGCACTGGTATGTTCGGAGCCTCTCTACGTGCTCATCGTAGGTCCTATACACTGGTTTAACCACGTCCCCAGCCAACGCTTTGGTGAGGGGCCTGGCATGGTCTGGTGGGTTGTCTTACTTTGCATAGGCCTTTTCCAGGAGGGCACTCCAGAACTCATTGCGCTGGGAGGACTTGGTGAAGACCAGCTGGTTGTTGTACGTAGGCAAGCAGTCATCAATGACAACGTCCACCCAGTCTCCGTAGCGCCAGAACTGAATAAAGGCGAACAGGAAAAAAGCTCTGGGTTAGCTTGGTGCAGGGAGGGAAAGCCAGGATGAGAGAGTAATGTGGAAATTAACTGCTTCGTAATGTGGCGAAAAGCGGTGGCCGTTGGGAGGGAGGCAGCCAGACTGAATTGCCCTGGGTAATGCCTGTGGGACAGTGGGAGGTCCCTTAGGAGAGCCAAGGCAAATACGGAAAGCAGTCAATCTGTTCTGAATAAGCGGTTCTTCAATAACTTTTTTTTTTTTTTTTTTTTTTTTTACAGACTAGCTGCTTGTGGGCCTAAAAATAGATGCTCTTGCCAACTACTGGCGTGCCTGTGCTGGCTGCAGTGGTGTATCTAAGCAGCGAGGCAGGACTGGGCACCTGTTGCCATCCCTTAGGCACAGGACACAGCGATCTGCAAATGCTTCCGTGGTGGGTTAATGCTCCCTAATTGCCTGTGGGGCTGGCCCTTGTGTGACTGCCCTGTTGGAAGAGTTTAGGGTGAGGCAAGTCAATCCCTCTTCCTTTCCTGCTGTGGCTCATGCTTCCAAAGGGTGGAGAAGCGAGAGGGAAGAGTGCATTCGAGAGCTGAGCTCTCTCTTGGGTAAATACACCTGTTTTCTGGTAGACAGACTCACCTGGAAATGAAAGATGCCAGCATAGTTGTGTATGAAGGACTGGTCATGAGGTATGACTCTACAGAGGAGTTTTTTATTCAGTGTCAGGCAAGCGATGGCAGCCAGGAACCAGCAGTCACCTGCAAACAAGCAGAAGCAGCAGACAGAATGAAGGGACAGAGCACCTGGAATCTAAGGGAAAACCTGAGATGCTGCAAAGTGAGACGTTAATTCTCAGTAGGGCATGCCATTGCCTTTTGGGAAAGGGCTCTTCTCCATGTGCTCTGCAGTACTTTAGCACTTTATTTGTGCTCAGGAAATGCTCGTTCACATCACTCATGGCCAGGTGCATGCCTATGAAATAGATGATGTTCCCTGTAATTTAGAAAATTACAGAAAATCTGATGAGCACTGTTACCTGTGGTGAGATTTCCCTGTCCCATGTGAATGCTTCTCTGAGTTCTGGCATTAGTTCTGCTTCCAAGCTTAGGACAGAGCCCAGCTGAGAGATAATTCTCTCCCAGGTGGAGCTCTGTTCAGCAGCTGAGGTTTAGTCTCTTGTTTTCCTTTTCTGCTCTCAAGATAACCCACTGTCCCACCCATCATTCTGTGGGGCCTTTTTCCTGCTGCATTGCTCTGATGCATTTTCCTCTTTTTGAATCTGTGTCTGCACTGCTGGAAGCACTGTCCCCTTTAGGGCTTTTCAGTTCTTCCTTCAGACTCTTACACAAGTTTGCTGCTTCTCTGGGAGCTCTGGGAAAGTGACTTTCTCCCCCAGTACTTCTGTGTTCAGCAAAGGATGCCTCAATCCTGAATTACAACCTAGTTGGTACTGTAAGAGAGGTTCTAGGGTAAGCTTGGCTGAGCAGTGTGAACTGCTAGGGCAAGAGAATTATACAGGGTAGTGAAAACTGAACCTGATTGCAGGGAGTTGTAAAAGAAATGTATAAAGCTGTTGTAGTGATAAAACACATAGAATTACATATATGTATATATTATGGAAAGCCAACTCTCTCTTTATAGCAGTACGTTCTAAGTTACCTATTTCCCCTTAGGGAGGAGGTGGGCTCCACTGTGAACAGGAGTTTTCTGAACCATACAATGTGCAGCAGAAGTCAAAAAGGTAAACAATGCTATGTGTAGTTGGGGAAGGAATGGAAGACAAAAGAGAGAATGTATTATGCACGTAAATTCATTTGCATCCACACCCTGGAAACTGAAGTTTTGGTCACCTCAAAAAGAAAGGCAGTTCTAAATAAATTTTTAAAGAAATAAAAAGTACTGGGAAGGTGATGAGGAGAGTCACAAGCACAGAACGACAATTAAATGAAAAGATTAACACACATCAGGATGTACTAGGTTAGGAAAAAGATCACAAGATAAGTTATAACATTGTGAAAGACATGGGAAAGCTGAGCGGGGAATGACTTTACAGAGCAGTGCAGGGGAGTGCCAAGTGGTGCCCCTGCAAGAGTTGTACCCATGTACCTAAGCAGCGACTCTATGTATCAAAGTGTGTTTGAGCACGTGAGCTACAGGTCTTCAATACAGAGGTTATCCTTGAGTAATAGGACTAAACACCTGAAAAAATACAACAGCAGCTGAAAAGATTTTTCACTCAGTCAAATAACTCCTCCTCTTTCTCTCTTATTCATGTCTTAACTAATTTTGTCCCTCCTCAAAGCCTGAAAGAAGGCCAAATAGTGCTTTGTAACACATTCACTATATTAGTTCATGAAAAGCAAAACACCCTGCAAAGCATCTTCCACTTCAAGTTCTTCTCTATACCGCTACGAGGCAGATACGAACAATTTACTACAGACAGAAGGAATCAGTAGACATGCAGAGGATACTGAGACAGAGGATTTCAAATATCACCTTGGAAGGAAAAGAAAATCCAGTGATGCAGACTTTAAAAAGTGCAAAGTTGAAGTAAGACTGTCATACCTAATTCTCCTTGGCAGATATCTGTTCTGTTGGCTCCACCGATAATAAACCGTGGATTCTCACAGATTTCCTGCAAAATATAAACAGATGGATGAGCAGGAAAAGCATGCGTTATGATGCCTGTTTGCCACAGAAATAAAGGCTGGTTTAGGACAATATTTTTCTGTAGGATAGTTTGTCAATATCAAAATCTCTTGAGAGCTGCCAGCCGCAGAGTTTCACTACAAAAATGTTTTGGAATCTGGATGTTCCAGACTTCAGCCAGAGTTTTCTCCATGTATCTACACAACACGGTCTAATTGCTAGCCTGGGGGGCTCCCTCTGTACAGGGTTCAAACACGTTAAAATGAGAAGAATAGGGGGAAAAAAGTTTTCTACACAATAATGGAAAAAAACCCCACTACTGGAGGAGACAGGAGAGCAGGTAGGTGGAAAGAGCATCAGAGAACCAGATTAAAGTATTTTTAAATGACTGCAGGTTTAAAGTAACCAATTGGCAGTAACTAATATGCTGCAGCATTAAAAGGGTTGGAGAATCCGTTTCATCAGGAATGAATCCCAGTAATACTCCTCCTTAAAATTTTCCCAGGATCAGGCATTTAATTCTCAGCAATAATCAATTGCTGGTTAAGAGATGTTATTCTTTTCTTCCTGTTGCAGTATTTAATTGCCAATAGTCCATTCAGAAATGTACACAGACATAATCTGAGGACAGGAAGCTCTTCTTTTGTCCTGCGCTTAGGACAATATGTTGGGTTTGTGAGTATTTATACGGAATGGGTACAAGATGCTGTACAGGCATAAATAATCAAGGAATTTCTGTAGGGAAGGAAGGACTATGTAGGAACCACCAGCAAATGAGGTGGGACTATTGCAGGGTTACACAGAACTTTTTCTAAATGGGACAAAGAACTGTGGAGTACAGGAAAGCCAAGGGAAGAAGTAGGTACAACCTGTCCTACAGAGGAAAAAGAAGTCCCTGCTTATCCCATCTCTCCTTCTCAAATACTTGCTATGGGCAAGAAAAAGATGACATTTAACTTTTAGGCCCATCTCTTGTGAGGGTAAGGAAAGACAGCTATTGCAACCTGAGGACCACTTCCCTGAGCAGCTGCAAATGGGGAAGAAGACAAAGTTTAGTCCAAGAACCCAATCTGTTGGAAGACGGCAGGGCTGGAGTGGGAAGGAGAAAGAGGAAACAACCGACAATGGCTTGTGTGGCAGTACAGGCAGCTGGTGCTACCTCTGCAGTCTAAAGCTTTTTTCCCATGTCATCAGAGCAGCCCTGGATTTTCCCAGACTCATGTTTCAGGTCTAGTAGTTTCACTTGGCTTGAGCCCACTTCTTCCCTCCTTCACAGTAATCAGCAGAGTTGCTTTGATGTAAATATTTGGATTAGTCATACAGCCTGATAGAGAGACCAGCTTCCGGCTCGCCCCAGCAGTCACCTTATTCTCCTGGAGGGAGGGAATGGAGGGATTGTCCTATTATTTTGGGCCTCGGACAGATGTCCCAGGGTCCAGTTCTGCCAAGGCAGCTGTTTGAGATACCTTTATGCTTTTCTCCACCCACTTGCTTTGTTGAAAATATTCTTTCTCACGTTGTTCTGGTGCTCTCCTGAAAACTAGCTGTGAGACACTAGGTTTTTGGATTAGGTTTTTTCCATTTCTGTTACTGTATTTTAGCTTGATCCTGCTCCTGTTGAAGTAACGAGCTCTGAAATCCAGCATGCTGCGTTTTCGATGAAGGTAGCTAGATAGTGCCTGTTTCCAAATATTACATGTTCAGCAATGGCTGGCCCTCAGAGCAATTTACTGCATCTTGGGCTCATTTGCTTTGGAAGATGTTTGGTAAAGGAATGTACAGGAGGGAGTCACGCAATTGTCATATAGGCTGTATCATAGCTATGACAGAAATGCTTTTCTTGCATTTCTTTATGGTGGCCAGGTGTCTTTAGTACACTATGGGTATACTTTTACTATTGTATTACTCTAGTTCATCTCCAGCTGTGCTAGTTGTACCAACTACAGCTGAAGTTACGGAAACGGAAAGGTTTCAAGGTCTTCCAAGGCTGATGAAAAGTATTCAGTGAGCAGAGTGAGACAACCTGTTCCAGATGCAGATTCAGTTCTGTAGTTTCATTACAAAGAGTCGAAGTTACAGCAAGGGAGACAGAGAATCCTAGGAAAAATCCATTGGTAGTGCGTGCTGCTTTCTGGGCTGAGGGTGGTGATGAGTCAGTTGGAAGGGACCACTGGAAAATGCAAAGGCAGCATGCAACTAAAAATGGCATTTGACCTTTGTTGTATTTTCATTAGTTTTTCTTCTGTGTCAGGAAAAATCCTCCAGTCAGCTCATACTGCTGCAGCAAAAGGCACTAATTCCTTTAAAAACTGCTGTTAATGAGCTATGGCATTCTAAGTAAATTCCCTGAACTGAGCCTATCAAGTAGAGGAAGCATCTCCTTAAGCCTGCTTAAGACAATTTGTACCTTCATGCTTCTCCCTTGGCCTCTCATGGTCTAAACCATGCTACTCAATGGCTGTGCTGCAGACTTCAAGGCAAAGCTTGACGTTATTGGACACCAAGCTGGTTTTAGAGTTTCAAGCTGGTTTTAGAGTTTCAGAGCTGGATTACCCTAATCTGAAAGTCCTGCCTTGGTGGCACTAAATGCCATCTTTGGTTTGTGGTACTGCCTGCAGAGGCACACATTTTGTGATTACCAAATTCAAACAGCTTCACACCCATGCAGCAGATGCTCTGATTCATTTTCATCCTGTGCAAAATCCACCAGTCTGCTAACTTGATTTTATTTGTATTTCTTATGAAAAGAAAGCTCCTCCTGCTGATTTTCTTGGCTGCTGAGAGGATCACCATGGGGAAGTCATTGAATCTGGCTGGTAACGATGCAAGCTCCTGGCTGTGAGCAGAGAGAATGACAAGGGTGCGCTTGAAAGCACAGTGTCACAGCAGAGCCTTCCTATTAATGTCCTAGCGTCATTGGATCCAAACAGGACTGCAGCAGGACTCTTGCATTATGTTATAATACAGACTTTTTCTCAGCTCTCAAAGACTGGTGACCTTGTCCCCATGTCCCCTGCAGGGCAGCATAGGTGTGGGAGGCTGAGGCTGTTAAGAAAGCTGGGCACAGCCTGTCACTGAGCTGGATACAACCTGGTGCAGGTGAGAAAGGCTCTTTGGGCTTCTCTTACCTTCCAAGGGTATTAATATTATGCATTAACTGAGGGAGATTTTATTTCCCCCCTATGTACCATACTCTGAACAGAAACGCTGGATGGATCCTGCAGCCTTCACTCAGGGAAACATTCAGGGCTGTCACTTGGCTTCTGCCCGAACTGAGCATTAGGAGGTCTGCCCCGTGCATTCACGTCGTGGCATGGCAGTCACTACCTGGGTAGAATTTCAGGGGCCTTCTCGCCGCCCCCGTGCCAAGGCTCACAGCTGCCTGGCGTGGTAGCTGTCCTTCTGCCGGTAAGGCACAAGACCAGTCCTCGTGCCTTTGCTGCCTGTGCAGCAGCAGAGGGCAATCATTTCGGGAGGTGGCGGAGGAGGACCCGACCTCCGAGAAGCACCAACTGCAAAGACACTCAGCAATCCCTCGTGGATTCACGTCATCACCAATAACGCTCATTTAAGGCCAGCATTGATCTGTCATCTATATTACATTCTCATACATGAACATCATGTTTGGGGGGAGCTTGGGTACAAATTCATCAGGTGGCATGACTGAGGTGACTCAGAAAGGCAGAGGCAGTCAGGAACAGGTCAGTGTTAGGATATTCTCTCAGGACCTCTGAACTGTCTGGTATTTTGTTTTCTTTTAGAATACATTATCAAGTCTCTTTCAATTCAAGTTTGACCTGAATTTCAAAGTGATTCAAAATTACCACTGTATAAGACTATAGTTTATAAGCTAGTTGTTTTCTTTGCCAAAAAAAAAAAAGCCTTTGCAATTTAATAAGAACAGAAGCTGTCATATCTTTACAGACTATTACAAAATTTGGCCTGTGCAGTTGAATCTTTACTTTTGGTGCTTCAATGATTGCTTTAATCTCTTAACAAAATACTCTTTAGCCCAGTATTGCTACTTAATACTCATTTGACTTGATGATGCTCTGTTAATTATCTATTGTGGCTATTCATGTATACAATATTATCAGACAAAGTGCTATATAACCTGCAGTTTCAAAGTCCAGTGAAGCAAAATCCTGGGTCACTCTGAGATCAGCACCAAGAGATCCAGGTCTTGTGCATCAGCCAGCGCCCGAGAGAAGCCGCACTTTGCAGCCGTGGTAGGGATGACATGATAGGGGACACATTATTAAAGGAGAGTCTCTTTGGGGACCTCCTGGGTACAGAAATCACCTGAATTACAGGGTTTGTTTTAAAACAAGCACATTTGCAACAGACGGTCAGGCATCTCTCCCCTGGCAGGACAGCCAGCTCTATCGGAGCCAGGACCGACTGTCTCCCCGATCCCACAGCGTGCCAGTACTGCCCAGATCTCCTGCCTCTGCTCTACCTGCAGCCGGCACCACAGATACATCAGGTGCCCGAACGCTTGTGTCAAAAGAACACAGACAGCTTCGGTTTTGATGTTTAGGTTGTATTTTGAGTCCTGCACAGTCCCCAGCTTGTGGTTGCTACATGAATAATAAGTATTGCGCTTCCAAACTTATTTGGTAATGAGTGGCTTCAAGAAGTATCTTTGGGATAGAGACCCTGAAGTCTGAACCTTCCCAAAAACCCGGCTTGATCTGTACATTCTCAGTTGTATTAGCCCAGTCTGAGGTTACATTGTGGGGTTTTTTTTATGTTTTGATGCTTTCTCACATGCGCACTTGAAGTCTGTCTGCCCCAGGGTGCTGGCACCCATCCCCTGTACCTTCCTCTCTGTAGAAATAGGGCAGATCCCCTCCCTTTGAGATGATTGACTTGTGGCTACACTTAACTCACCCACGCACATTTCCAGGAGCTGATGCCGCCCTGGTGATGATGCAGGAATGACAGAGCAGGCACGCACAGGGCAGGGCAGATGGGGGGATCATGTTGCTCCCCCCACATTGCTCACGTTGTTGTTATGACAGCGGCACGTGGCCTTCCTCTGCGTCTGTAAGAGCGACCCGCAAAACTCCCGGTCTTTTGCTGTTTAGTTATGTTCCTGAGGTTAGTTTTATCTGCCACCACTGACTCTGCCATTGAAGCACAGATTTGGGTGTTGGGGAAGTACGGCAAATCTAGAAGAGGCGGCCAAAAACTGCCAGAGGGAGGGAGCAGGGGAAGCTCCTCAGAACAGCATCTTTGCCACCAGACAGGGGATGGCAGGGGCTGAGGCAGCATCCTGGGGGCTACCTCGCTGTGGGGGGAGCAGCCGCCCAGCAGCAATAACTCCTCCTGCGGCAGGATGGGGAATCGATGGGGAATTGAGGAATTAGTCCTCTGCCTGGAAAGTCCTTCTTTCTTCTGGAAAGAAGAGGAAGGCTGTCTGGGGAATGCCCACAAGAGAGGAAAAATAAAGGGGATTAGGAGGCAGGAGTGAGTCCTCATAGTGGCTACATCACCCACGTTCATGGTCAGTGGGTAATATGCTAAACAACCTTTGCACGTTGGCTAAGCAATGTTAGGAACAAACAACTGAGTAAAGTGTGTTTCAGACCATAACCTGTCCTTTATTTTCACTGATTAGGAAACCACCAGAATACTAAAGTAAAGTTGTAAGTGAAAGAAGGTAATATTTAAAAATTAAGGCTCAGCAAACCCCACAACTTATTGCAGAATGAGGACAATTTTTCTTTGGTAGTTTCAGACAAGAAAATCCCTAGCAAATCATGCAAGAAGAAAATTAAGTTCTGTATTTCTTTTTCTACGTATGCCATTCCATCTCTTGTTTTGTTTCATTTTGGTTTATTGTATTTTAGCCATTATATACACTCTCTCTGATCCTCCACAACCCTAGCTAGTTAACCTCAGGAGAGCTCTAAGGAAATACTCTTCCAGCTTATTCCTCCTGCCTCCCCTGACACACACTTTCTGCAAAAAATGTAAGCTCAGGGTGAACAGTTCAAGCCACAGAAAGTAAAAGGCATTCAGCAAACATGGTACTTACACGTGGTCTCTTCCATTCGAACTTGATGGGGATTTTCTGGCTATAGAAGAGGGAGGACTCATTAGGTGGGAAATCAGGATCTTCATAGAGAATGTTTTTCTCCAGGCACTTCTTGTGAAGCTCTTCATAGGTCTTCTCCTTTACTTTGATAATGGGCTGGTTGCGACTTATAATGGCAGAATAAATCCCCCCTGTGCCCCCACCCGCACCTTCAGTTGTTGTGCTAATAGTAGCGCCGGGAAGTGACCCAGCAGCTGTCTGCTGAGCCACCGCTGCATTTATGGCGGTCGGCATGGGATTCAGGCGTAAAGCAAGTGTTGAAAGAAAGCAAGATCTTGCAAACTGGAAGGAAATTCGAGAAAAAGAGGAAGTTGCTGTGTAAAGTGCTTTTTCTATCCGTTGAAAGTCTCCCAGTCAAATTTTCAAGCAGCAAAATTCCATGTGGTTGAGCACGTTGTGCATCCTCTCAAAGGGCAGGATTTTGTCATAAAAAATCAGAATTTATTCCTTCATGGGGAACAAGATAATCTGTTGGCTGCCTGAGCTGTAGTATCTACAGCATGTGTGTGTGCTTGCCCTGTGTGCACAAGCGTCCAGAAGGGACAAGCTTTAACCCGTGAAATCTAAAAATAACTACAGGCGAAGAGTGAGAGAAAGCGAGAGGGAGAGGGTTAGTGAGAGGGTGTCAGTCTTCTGTGCACCTCGTGCCGAGGGCAGGCGTGTTCCTGGGACGGACTCCGTGTGCAGGCTGACTCCTGGTGCAAGCAGCTCATCTTTTCCGTAAGTAGAGAGAGCAGTGAAACTGGAAGCTAAACTCCTGCTGCTTTGGGAATGTGCTTCGTAAGTACTAGCAGCCAATAAACTAGCCCTGACACTCCCGGAGGAGCTGTTGTACTCGAATAGTTATTTCTACCCTTTGCTGCAGAAAAGATACATTGAGAATTTTTACTAGTAGAGAGGGTTAGCTGAAGACACGCTCCTAATGGTGAAAAAGGGAATTATTTGATGCTACTGAGGTCGGGTCAATACCTGCCAGGTGGGTTTGTCTCCTCTAGAGAGCAGCTCGCCAGCACTATAGCTGGTGATGGCTACCTCCCATGAAAAGAACCTTTTCGTATAGAGACAGAAAAATTTATAAGGGGCCAGTGTGGAAACCGGGCCACTCTGTGTGTGTTAGGATGTACCCATCTCAGAGGAGATGTCTGACTTCATACACTTGTTTTGTCACACAGTTGTGGGATAAGGGACAAATTCACAGTCTCAGTGAAAGAAAATCTAAAGCCTCCTAATACCTTGATTTTTCTTTGATTAGGAAGTCTTAAATCACATGAGGACATCAGTGTTATTTTTGCCTGATGACACTAGTCTCTGGACTCTGGCTCACGTACACATTGCTGATCTTCTGCCCTAGTACTATGCTGTTTTCCAATGCACTGATTCTTTTTTCTCAGCCATTTGCTTGGTTTACAAATTTCAAATCAACAGCACAATGGACAATCTCTTTGTGTCATTAAAAAACTCCACCAGGGGAACTTTTAAAGAAGATAATATAGTTGGCAATCTTGACTAACCTCTAGGACTATGAATCCTCAGTCTTCTAATGGTGGCCTAAATCCTTTTAATTTTATCGTGAATGCAAGCTTTCTTGCACCAACAGGGGAATCAGAAAGGACAGATTCAAGTGTTCGTGAAATAGGAATGCAATTGCTTCAGGGTGGGTTGTCAGATGCAGAATTGATGACCTCCTCATTACATTTAGATGCCAGGATTGCAGGTCTCACATCTGACATTACTTTGCAAGACAGCTTGGCAGAGCCATGTGCCACTCTTCCCAGGATATCTCAAGAGCAATGCAAGTGGTGAGATGCAACGGCCTCTTATTGCACAGCTTCAGCAAAAATGCTCATTTTGGAGCCTGTGCATACGTTGTTTCTTTCATATTCTCCCTTCTTGCCTGATACAAAAATTCATCTATTATGTCTTCTACACAGAGCTCTGTTTTGGGAAGAATGTCAGTAGCACAGGTGTGATATTTGACAAACTCCTGGTCTGCTGGTGAGGATCAAGTGAAGAACTAGCAGCGTTTTTATATATATATTTTTTCATATATATATATTTTCTTCCTCTTGGGATGGTCAGCAAGTGTCAGGATATGACCTGCTGGTACTGCTACAGGTAACAGTTCAGCTAGTGCCTGCATAGGGAATGGCAAGTGGATGTGCACTTCTCACTTCTAACCCAATGTCACTCTTTGGTGATGCTCAGGAGTATTTTGTGGTTATACCTGTTCAAAAAACAGCTGCTTCTTTTCTGATTTTTACTGGAAAGATGGTTTTGTTATTAAAGTCTTTGTTGTGTGAAACAGCAGTTGCTAGTAAAAGACAAATGATGTCTTTAAAGAAGCACAAGTTACCCCAGAGAAGAATGGATGTGCTGTCTGCTACAAATAGCAAAATAAACCCTTTGTCCATTACGATATAACCACTTTTTGTAGTGGAATTTCTTGCAAGCAGAAGTACCCCAACAGCTGGCCTGTTTGGACAGAAAAAAGTGAACTACATGGGTGGTAATATTTCTATTTAATTTTTATGAAGCTTTACTTCCAGTTGTTTTCTCCATTTGAATTCAACTACTTGTTTTGTGAAGATATATATATATATAGACTATAGACCTATTTCTTAATTTATGGCATAAATATGGGAAAAGTATATGAGTTGCTGCAAATATTAATGTAAATTATATTATTTGAAATTTATTTCCTCAGATCTAAAGCCATAACTTCTAAGATTTTCAGCAACTAATTCCTATTGAAATCCAGAGAAGTTAGGCACTTCATCCCACTGAAAATTTGACCCATGAGTACTTACTATAGTGCAGATATACTGAGGGCCAGGGTATAGACGCTAGTCATTCACTTTAACCAGATACCTGTGGAAGAATACTTAGTCGTGATTCTCAACAGAAGAAAGAAGGTTGGAAGGAATAAGCCATGTAACTTGCTTTATGGTTACTTTATTTCACTTACTTTCCAACTTCTGAAATACCAGTTAAAATACTGCATTCAAATGCTCCAGACAATAAATTGTATCCTGTCAGAAGCACTGCTCTGCTTAAATGTAAGAAGCAAATGTCAATTAAAGCTTAGAAGCTGATAGAAAAATAGGGTCTGTCTCAAAAATAGGGTCTCTCTTTCTTCTCACAGACGTAAAAGATCTATTTGGTACTGTTCTACCTGCATTAACTCGCCTGCATTAAGCACAGCAGTATTTAGGCTGCTGGTTCCCAGGGTGGAGGCTCGCGCTGCCTGCTAGAAGGGGCTGACAAACAGCTCTGCAGAATAAAAAAGAAGGAACCTAAGCACCTGGTGGGGAACAAACTGCGCTTGGTAGTCAAGAGCGGAGTAGTCACAGTTTGCTCTCACACTTGCTGTTCCCAGAAATCTGCCGTGCAGAGGACAAACAGCAGCAGGTGGGAATGACTGACCAAGCACAGGGACAGCTCAGTAAGAACAGTGGGGAACAACGTACAAATGGACGGTTACATTCCCTTCAGTTTGCAAAAATGGTGACCACTCTTCTCCATTTCTTAAGAGTTGATTTACTGATGTTTTTAGAAAATATTCCTTTATCTTGCTAAAAGAAATTAAGTAAATTTTCCCTTTTCTATCCACAAAAGCCAACTGACTCAAAGCATAACTGATTTAAAAAATAATATAGTTGGCAAGTGTAGCAAATAGAAAGGGCAAACAACTTGAGCTGTCTGATATGGAAAGGCTGCAGGAATAGACAGGGTGTAGGGGATGTGGGACTCAGGATGTCTCCTAGTTTTGAAAGGGAAGAAAGGACAGGACACACCAGTTGTGTTTGCAGAGATGGTGGGAAAAGAAGGCAAGGGAACATTAGGGTGAGCCATGGGAGAGTTAGGGGAATAGGTGTGAAGTAGGACAGCAACATACAGAATTAATCCCATGAAAATTTGCTTCATAAATACCAAGCTCAAATCTGCACCAGATACTAAAAACAGACCAAGAAATTAACTAAAATATGTGTAAAAGAAGCCAAACATTGGCAAGAGCTGGAAGATGTGCAGAAGCAGAGCTCTCCGTAAGCAGAGTTGCTTTACCAGGCTGGCTTAACCAGCAACATTCAATCATCCAAAAATGCAAATTCCTTCCTAACAAAAGACTTTTTTTTTTTTTTTTTTTTAAAGTAACACAGAGCAAGGGGAGCAATAACATGGAAGATGTTTCTGCGTGAGTCTAGCTGCTACCTCAAGCCAGTATTGCACCTGTGCCTTTTCAAAATCCAAATACCAGTTTCAAAAGCAGCTACTGGAGAGACTTGTGCGCTCCCACGTGACTGTCTTTTGCTATCACACAACTGACTGTCACAACCTACTCAGGCCGTACCTTCCGTGACACGCAACTTTGTTTACTGCCTGATTTTGCATTGTCATAGGGACAGGGAAAGGGGAAGTGTCTATAATCACACGGGGTGGCTCCTTATGGGTTTGTTTTCACAAGGCAGCTTGCAGGGAGAACTCTGATGACAACCTCTCTGTCTGGCATGTCTACTGATGCTGCTTGACGAACTGGCCCAGATCTGCTCTTCTCAGGTACTCCAGTCTCTCCACAGTGGGATTTCCACCTTAAACCCTATGCCAACGAGCCACAATCTCACCCCATCAATTTATGTTTTTTTGTGGCACATGAAGGCAGAACTCAGTCTTAATGCCTAACTGAAGGTAGCCTGGAGCAGGTAGTATTTAGTTGTTTTCCCCAAAGATACAATCCTAGTGCTATTACTTTTGCCAAATAGAAGAGCTATCTGAGTTTAAATTAGTGCTTTAAAAGAAAAATTGTACAAAATGTTAGTTTGGGGTGTGGGTGAGAAATATGTGGACTGGATCGAAGTGAACATTTTGAGTCTTCCCAGCTTATTGCCCCTCAACTTCTCAATGAATTCTCTGAAGAAGTTGCTTCTCCTTTTAGTTGATGCAAATCTTCCAGTCAGTGTCAACATTCAGGGCTAAATTTTCCAGTGTCAGTGCAGAGGTCTTCGTATCATATTTGAAAACCACTTCTTTTTCTTTCCCATCTGAACAAGACAAGAGAGTTTGTTATATTATTTAAGAAGACTCCCCCCAGTTTTTCATTCAGACCATCCCTGAATGAAAATTTAACTCAATTTAACTTAATTTTAACTCCCCCCAGTTTTTCATTCAGACCATCCCTGCCACTGATGGAAAGGATTGATTAAAAAAGAAATAGTCAAATCTGCGCAGTATACACATAAGAATGCAGCAGAATTGGAAAAATTATTTTCTTCTGACCTTTCAAGTATGTCAAACTATGGAATTTTTCAAGGATTTTTCTGAAAAAAATAACCCTTGTTTCAGCATAGGTCTTCTTCCAAGCACCCTAAAAGCCCTTAAGATTGATAGGTAGAGGCAGAAATTGCATGTCCACACGATTCCCAAAGTGAAGGGACATGCCTGGAAAGCAGCCAGAAATGATAAGCCCTTCCTCTAGATGCCACTGCCTATCTATACGGGATCCCTCACAACTTCTAGAGATCCCCACACAGTCAGGAACTCTGGAGGTTTTTGAATGAGCAAGAGAATATACAAGTAATTCTGGTTTTGTCTCTAAGTCTCCTGTTCTAGACTAGGCAGGCTTACAGATTGGAGCAAATGGTCCTTCATTTGAAATGCTACCTCTGGTCATGTTCTGTGCAGGACAAAGTTATCCGAACTTGTTAATTCTGAACCACTTTTACTGATGTATCTATTGCCTTGCAAAGCAAGTGTTCTTCAGTTCTATATGTAATATTAGTGGTGAGGCGCTGCTGGCTCCTTTCACTAAGTTCTGTCCTTTATGTCCAAAGAGTAGCAAATAAAGCTCAATAAAGATGCTCCCTATACTATAACACTAGCTTTATAGAGCTATCAGTTTGCCACCTCTAGTGAATGGCAGCAGTGCAACGGTATTTCAAATAACGTTAATAAAACAGAGGTCAGTTCATTACCCTTGGGACAGGCTGTCACAAGATTGGGTTGCTGTCCAAATCCCAGAACTATCACCCGTTCAACCACACACGTTGTGTGGTATTGTCCGCTTTCATCGGTGCAGCTGAAAAAAGGAAATAATTTCATATATATTAGTTTCTGTCCATCAGTAAAAGTTCAGCATCATACTTCAGTCTCACCCTGAAAGTTCCCCATGCTGTTTTCCTTTCTTCTATTTACCTTTCTCCTGAAACAAGTAAAACTTTCTCCCATTATCAGGTAATTTTTTACTGCACAGCGGATGTCACAAAGTTAGAAGAAAAAAGTTTGAGGATATAATTTCTGGAAAAAAAGCAGGGCTTTGATAAACAGAAAGGTTATGGATTTTTGCAAAATGGTAGTTAAAACTCTCAAATATAAATGTAAAGCTAATTTTAACATTTTTCAAGTAAGATGGTTCAGTCTGAGGTACTGTTATCTTTCATTTTGTAACTAATTTATTTTTTATTAAAAAAGCTCTTAAAAAACCCTCAAATCAAAATGAAGCTGCCTTTTCCAGAGTGAACAGAATATTACACCACTCATCTCAAAATTATTTTTTTCCAACTTCTAGACTTGCCAGCATTTTAGCAACATTTTTCTTTTCCATCCTGAATTTTTAGGCTTTTCAAATTTCATATCCCAGATAAAGAGATTTGAAACACACTTTTAATGACATTGTCCAAGCTAGTCTACAGTTTTGCTCTGTGTTGTAGTTAAATTTTGAAGTTTTAGGACATCCTGCATATTTTTGAACCCTGAAAGGATTAGGACATGCCTGTAAAAATCACCATTTATGCACTGGACAGCCCCATGGGCAACATACTTCAATAGTAAAAGCATCATAGTGACATTTTTAGGATCTTTTTCCTTTCAAGCAGCTAAGGATAGTTTTGGCTTTTAGTTTGTTTCACTCAGCCTTTGCAGGTTGTGTCCCCTCATGCTTTTCTTGCATATTTTACCATACTAATATATATGCTGCATTTGCTGATGACTTTTGCAGACTACGTGTAATGGTGTCTGTTTGTGGTTCCCACGTAGAATCATAGAATCAAGTTGGAAGGTACCCATGAAGATCATTGAGTCCAACTCCCTGCTCCTTACAGGACTACCCAAAACTAAATCATATGACTAAGAGCATCATCCACATGCTCCTTGAACTCTGACAGGCTTGGTGCTGTGACTACTTCCCTGGGGAGCCTGTTCCAGTGACAGACCACCCTCCCCATGAATAAGATCTTAGAAAAATACATCCTAGAAAATACAAACACTCCAGGCACTGCCTGTTTGCAAATCTCACAGTTTATCTTCTTCTGTCTCTCTGATAGGCTTTACTCTTGCTGATGACTTTCTTTGTATTTGAGTAAATCTGTAGAATCTGTAGATTTGCCTAGACTCAAACAATATGAGATAACTCAACTTGGTTAGCGTTTAAGGAGTGCTTCTTCTTAGACTCAAACAATATGAGATAACTCCGTATTAAATGTGTTGCTGTCCTTAGACTGGTGCAGAACATTGTTTACCTCTGCAGTTTTAGAACAGATTCTGCATGCTCTGGGACTTCACTAAGCAATAGACAAGATGATTAATACTTGTGCATGTGTAAGAAGGCCTCATGAACTAGAAAAGGTATTTCCACTGACAGTGTGTTGGTGGCTCTTGTCCATAATTGCTCTTACCTGGAAGACAGAATGTTCTTGCGGAAAGTGAATTTCCGATACAGGAATTGCTTCTTGTGGAGATATTGAAATGAATGTCCATCATCTAGGTAGAGCTCACCTGTTGCACAGGCCTGTGAAACACAGCAGATGACAGAGTACAAATTAACAGCAGCTTCTAGTGCCGGGCAAAGAAACTAAAAATGTCTCACTATATGTTATACTTCATAGTGAAGAGTGTGTGTTTATTTTTCTTTAGCAACTTGTATCCTTAGAAGGCTCAGGGAGTCCAACTCCGAGAGTGCTCCGAAGACTTGGACATCCTGGTTTTGTAAATTGATGTGGGTGCCAGGTGTCACCTTGTGTATTAGAAAATCTGACAGTTGTGGGAAGTTCCCTCTCTGTGTCCAAGAGGAAGTTTGTGGCCTGCTTATTCACTGCTGCTTCCTCCAACGAACGAGAAAAGGGCTGAGAACGGTTAGAAAAGTGTTCTGCCTCTGCTGTACACAGATAGTCTCACTTTCGGGGAAGAGGTGGAGGGAGGTGGGAGCCTTCCCAACTAGAAAGAGGAGAGCCATTGGGCATACAGATGCAGGTACCATTGTGCTGACTGAACAGGCAGCAAGGACCTAACAAGGTCAGGTGGAATAAAAAGCAGTTTTGAAAAGAGAATGTCATCTCAGAGCACCTCTGTGTCCAGGGCCACGCGGAGTTCGTAAGAAATATCTATCATCCATTCAGTGGATTTTCTAGCTCTGGTCTTCAGAGGTATGACAGTGCCACCCCGCTGGAATACAGGAATCTGCGAAAAACAAAGCCAGGGTAGAAAGGTTCAAATACTCTGATCGTGTAATTTTAACTTGGAACAGAGATAACTGAAGCTTGCTCTTATCAAAGCTCAGAAATGAACTCTTACCACAAGTACATAAAGAAAACAATTCAACTAACAATGGGAACAGTAGCAATTTTGCTATATGTGAACAAGCAAAATATCTCTGCTTGGAGAATTTGTCCTTACATTGTCTCACTTTTCTTTACCACCAGGACACATTAGTGTTCCATCTAACAGCAAAGAAGATGAGACTTTTCTCCTCTACAAAAGCTATTTTAGATTGCATTCCAACAAGGAAATTGAAATGACACTTTTCTGATTTTGAATGTTGACAAAACAAAAGCCTATTTGGGTTTTTTCTGCTCAATGGAAATAGTATCTTAAACCAAATCCATACATTCTCCAATGTTACTGGGATCTTCAGAGTGCCTGGATCTTCCATTCGTTTAAATTTTCTGAAATCATACCAAATCTAGAAAAAATGAAGAAAGAATGAACATGACATAAGGCAAGATCTGTTTGCTCTGCAGATGCTTAACCTTACTGTCGCTATTCCTAACAACCGATTTGATGCGCAAGAAATAGCATTTACTTTTTAAATCAAGTGACCTTCTGGATGGAAAGAATAAATTCTCATTCTTGAAGCACAAAAATAAGTTGATCTTTTCTACAGTTAGCATAACATCTTGTTATGTCTTACAGCATCTGGAAGTGCAAAACAATGAAATATCTTTTTTTTTTTTTTAATCTAGAAATGCTGAGCTCCAGAATTAAGCATATTTATATTGAAGTGAAAATTAACAACAAAGTTGCTAGTAACAGGTCACAAAACAGAGCTACATCTGAAACTTCCCATGCACCACACTTGCCAGCAGGTTTAACTGCTTTAAGTGTGCCAGGCAGTCAATTCCCACAGGGATCTTCATAAAAATATATTTCTTAACTTGTTTGGAGAGCCTAGTCTGTTTTTCTCCTTGTACTGAAAAGAATTCAGTGTCCTCAGATGCCTTAGTAGAGTCACAAGGCTCTGCATGGTCTCACTCACTCCCCTTTGCTGCTGTCTTTTTTTTTAGCTTCTCTAGAGTCTCAGGCTTTTCCTTAGGAACTGTTTTCCCCAAATTCCTTCCCTTCCTACACCTGCCAGATGCTGCAGCTCTTTGTAGGAGTGGCTCACAGTGCCATCCTCTGGATAAATAACTTTACTTCAGAGAGGAACTGATCTCTGTACATGTCAAAGTCTTCGCTACACACATCCCAGGCTACTAAAGGCTTGTATTTCCTGGTTAGAATTTGCCCTCCCCACAGCTTCCCTCTGATTTCCTTACGACCTTTCCTCAAAGATCTCTTTTCTTCCACAAAGAAATACATGAAAAAAGGGAATTGACAATTTAGTGAAGCTGTTTTTTGGTGTTCCATGAGAAGCAGCAAACCTTGAGGGTAGATTTAAATTACAGGAGACCTGAGACTTGTGCAGCAGCTCTTGGAAAAGCAAGAAAGTAGATTTACTGTGAGCCAAGCATGTGAGGTATCAAGATGGAAGGAAGGTTCAGAGCAGCACAGAATGGCTGGTCAGCACTTGGCACAGCAGCAGTGCTCAGCAGTTATGAGATGGGAAGCTGAAAGGGTGCTGTATAGAATACTTTCTTGGGCTGAAGAGCTTCATATTCATCCTCACCTCCTCTGACCCTGGAAGCAGAACACTCACTGCCTTGGCCTCTTGTTCTGTGACTGGATGTACCAACAAAGCATTTCCTGGAAAAAAACATAAACATGGCTGTGGTCCTCCAGGCTGCATCTCATCAGGGGCTGTGTGCTCTGAGGTTGTCAGACCATTTTAGGGGATTGTTTGGACATGCCACCTGCTTAGGTTCAATTTCTACTGGACAAAACAGGCATGTGTAGGGAGCTGAGGACTGCTTGGGTCTTGTTCTGTTATGGCACTGGGATGCAGCTGGGCTGCACCGTATATCCACCAGCTTGGAGGCACTTCGGTTGAACAACAAAATATGCTTTTTTAACCAAAAGAGAGGAAGACAGGAATGTCCTTGTAAAAAAACAAAACAAAGCAAAACCCCAAAAAACCCCAAAAAACCCAACAAAAAAAAACCTGCTTAAGCTTATTGCACTGGGGATGGTTCTTCTTTACTCCTAAAAAAATACGTTAATGTATATAGTGATAAACTTCTTCCCTCCTTGGCCACTGGTGTGGCAAGCTGAACTCTGAGTGTCCTCTGAAACGCTCTGCTTCACCACACTTCACTTTTGTGCTGTGTCCTGCCCACCCTGGTCAGACTTTTGCATGAGAAGTGAATGTTCCTTCATTCGAAAGCCATTAGTAGAGACTCTCGAGCTCAGAAGTAACAAAAAAAAGAAGAAATGCAACATTCCCCTCCCGTTCTCTCTTCCCATATAGGCTGAATGTGCTTTACACAAACACACTCATCTCTTAAGCTTAATATCTGAGAAAACTGACCTTAGCAGCCAGCAATATCAGAGTAAAAACCAGTGAGTTTTGGATGATAGTTGTTTGCTGCTGTCACTTCTGAAGCAGACTGTGGTCTTAGCTGCTGCAGTGAACTTCCACGTTTCAGGTCAAAACAGACCATATTTTTTTCAAAGTGACTAATGAGACTGAACTCAGTTTTTTGCATCTCATATGACCCCTATTTTCAAAGTGCTGTTAAAACCAGGCCCCTTATAGAGATTTCGAGTTCTATATTGAGTTACAATACAATTTTTAAAAGCTTTGGGCAGAGTTTGCATGTTTTCTTTTTGTCATGTCACGCTATTGCCTCAAAAATATTTCACTCAAATTCCAGAGAATGAGAAAATGCCTGCTTACCCAGCATGTACTCATTTTCCACACCAAAAGTTTCTATTTTCCCTGGAAACTCTACCCAGAGAGGCCTGTGGAAAGAAAGACCGTGAGATTCAGTTGGTTTCTTGTCTCCTATGAGCCTGTTCAAGGCTTTCTGGCATTTTCAGGCTCCATTTTCTCCCTCTCTTTACAAGGTACAGCTATCAAGAACTGAAAATAGGGCAAAGCCTTCTTCTGTGGCTTAAAGTACTCCTTTTGCATCCCTGATGAGAGTTCCCAGTACTAGGTGGGTTAAGATACTCCAATATACCTACGGTTTGTCCTCCTGCAGCCTCACATTCTTCCTTCCTGCCTTCTTCCTTACAAACTCACACTAGATACCCCTTCCTTCTAGCAAAGGAGAGGCGGATGAGCCTTTCTGACACAGGCTACCAGCAATGCTGACGCTTGACGAGCCAGTCCCTGCAGCACAGTCCTTCCTGTGCTCAGCAGCTCCCTGCTGCTTTTACATTATGTCCCCTCCTGGTCACAACTGAAAAACCTGCGCCAGAAGTTCAATTTCGGTCTTTCTCAAAAAAGGGTGGTGCAATAACCATCTGGTTACAGAACAGGAGTTGTATATTTGAGAGATTCCGACAATAATAGCTCAGCCAGAGACACAGTCTGGGTTTCCTTACACCAAAAGCCTGCCTCACCTGCTCACTCGTAGGCATCCAACTTGTTCGCTGCAACCCTGCTGTTAGTGTGCTTGCTAATGAGACACCTTTTCCACTCTGCTTCTCTCAGTGAGAAAAATACCATGCTTCCTCTCTAATTCTGTACCTACTGCAGCAAATTCAACATAATCAAAGTTTTATATAGTACTATAGGCAGTGCACATGTCAATGTAAGCTTCATTTCAAGGAAGACAGAAGCCCTCTGTCTATGTCAGTGCATACAGGAGGGGCATCTCTGCCTATACATGTGCAGAGAGATGCTCACACTATGTCTGTAATGCGGTGCAAAAGGGCAGTTTTAGGGCAACCTCACAGAGGCAGCAATGCCAGGGAGATTAATGGCATTCATCTCTTGCTGAAAGGGTTGTTGCATACACTTCCACTGAGACACTTTCTTGGTGCTTAGAGAGCAACAGAGCAAAAGTTTATTTTCTAATTTCATTTCTCTTCTAGATTATTAGATTCTGTTCTAAAAGAAAAAATTATAAGGAATACCACAGAGATAAATGATCAAATTAGCAATACGAAATAAGCTTTTATAACAGTAACAATTCAGTAGTAACAAATATTTTCATGAGGGGCAAAATGTTTTTAGGTCAGCAAGTTCAGAGTCCATTAAGCACTGTTTTAAGTGTGGGTTGGAATACTACATGCTCTTTATCTTGAGGAGAATTTTGGAGTTCACAGTACTTTAAAAACATGTTTAAAGACTATGCAGTGTTTATTGAATTAGCGTGTTCCAGGCATCATTTGAAAAAAAACCTAAAACATAATTTTCTTATGGGAACTCTTCATGCAGAATGCATGAAAATAGAATTTAGTAATTTCTATGTGTTTTTTTTCTTTTTAGTATTTAAATAAGTAATCAAAAAAAGTAAGAGATGGTAATTTAACTTCCCTCCTCCAAGTAACTTCCTGAAGATAACCACTAAACCTCCTGATGTATGCTCTTACCTCATAACCGGTTCAGCCGCTGTGTGTGCCCGATAGAACAGAGTGTATAAGTATGGCAGGAGGACGTAGCGCTCTCTAATGGCTTCCCTGATGATCTGGGTGTTCTTCTCCCCAAAGAGCCACGGTTCTCGCCGTTTGCTCTCCATGTTAGAATGACCTCTGAAGAAGGGCTGGTAGGCTCCAGCCTGATACCAGCGAACAAGTAATTCTGGTTCTGGATCTCCAATAAACCCTCCCACATCAGCTAGATATTGCGCAGACAAATAAAAATACACATTTTTGGAAATTATTCTGAAAAATGTGAAGTTCTCCTCTAATAAACATTCCATGTGTATAAATCCATGCATTTCACAGTGTGCTTGCAGTTCTGCTGTCGGGCAGCTGCTTGTCCAAATAAGAGTGGAAAACTGTTGTAACACCTTATCCTTTAATAAAAATCTCAAGAGAGCTTTTGGAGGCTGAGTGCCTTCCCCAGTGACAGAGGACTGTCACAGTGATGCTATGGAACGCCACCTGAAGATCGCTGCTCCAGATAGGATGCAAACGCTACATAAGAGTTAGTGGAGAAATGATGGTGAGAGCCAGGTTATTAGCTTTTGAAACCAGACTACTCTGTGAAACTGCCTGGAAATGCACTGGACTGTTGAGCTTTCCACCATCTGTGTTGAAGTCTATCTTGGGATACAAGCTTGGTGGCACCAGTGATTTATGCACAGCTAAACACCTTACCTCCACAGAATGAAATCCCTGCCATGCTGATGGTGAGAAGCATTGGAATGGATATTCTCAAGTAACCCCACTCTGCCGTGTTGTCTCCAGTCCACACTGCCCCTGGAAATACCCAGTTTCAGCATTACACAGGAAAGGTGGGCGTATGCTTCAGCTTATGCTTGCAGTTAAGGAAAGAAGACACGAATGGTCGTGAACTAGTGGTGAACTGCTGTTCATTACAAGTTTGTTTTTTTTCTTTATACGTGCATGCTCCTGAAATATGCAATAGAAGCAGGTAGTGGTTTGTCACAGGGCACGGTTTGTTATTCTCCCTTTACATTGTACACACTTGCCAGCCTCTCCTGATTTTTTTTTTTAATCACTTGCACTCTCCTGAGCTCCCCATGTCAGTATTTCTAAGGTAAGTTTCTGTCCTCTCTAGACTTAACTACTACACACCAAGCTTAATAGAACAAAGCAGCATGGAAGGCATCCAGCTCGTCCTTACTTACCATACCTCTGTGATCCAGCGAAGAAAGATCGTGTGAGGACAAACGGTCTCTCTTTTCCTGAAGAACGTCTGATGAGTCCTTCTGCAGTTGCCATTTGCTGAAAATCATGCATATAAAAATCAGGAAGATAAACTCTGTAACTAGGATATCTGCTACACTGCCTCTTTAGCCCTTCCAAAGTAGGAAAATTAATAAATCTGTATCCACAAATTATACTTATTATTAAAGCAGGACTTTCTTACTGGAAAGATAGTGTACCTGGTAGAATCCATAGAGGTTGTGTACTTCCCGATGCTCCCAGTTGTTGTAGTGCACAGCATCTTTCTGCATTGTTAGTTCTGCCCCTTTGAAGACTGAAGGCTCATTCATGTCATTCCATACAAAGAGGATGTTAGTGGATCCCTATGACACAGGGTTGCAATAAGGACATAACAGAGCCATAGCTGTGACTTGGACCTGTCGGAGTGAGCCCAGGGGAGGGCCAGGAAGACAATCAGAGGGCTGGAACACCTCCCATATGAGAACAGGCTGAGAGAGTTGGGGTTGTTCAGCCTGGAGAAGAGAAGGCTCCAGGGAGACCGTATAGCAGCCTTCCAGTACTTAAAGGGGGCCTACAAGAAAGCCAGAGGGGGTCTTTTTACAAGGGCATGTAGTGATAGGACAAGGGGTAATGGCTTTAAACTACAAGAGGGTATATTTAGATCAGATGTAAGGAAGAAATTTTTTCCTGTGAGGGTGGTGAGGCAGCAGCCCCGGCTGCCCAGAGAAGCTGTGGATGCCCCATCCCTGGAAGGGTTCAAGGCCAGGCTGGATGAGGCTTTGAGCAACCTGGGCTAGTGGGAGGTGTCCCTGCCCATGGCAGGGGGGTTGGACCTAGATGAACTTTAAGCTCCCTTCCAACCCAAACCATTCTATGATCCTATGAAGTGACCATGAGCTATGAGAGAGCACTCCCACATCACTCCTTCTATGTTATCATGGTAGTAGCAGCTGGAATCGCAGTAGCTGTGTTAGATTATGGGTTGCTAAAATACCTTCAGTTTGTCCATCCTACTGCTGCAACTAAGTGAGCAAGTTCACTGGTGGCATATGGGTTCCAACTTTCTTAGCATAGACAAGTCCATAGAGAAAATTCTTCTGGGGTACTTCAGCTTATCAAGGTATTTTCCTCTACATTATGACAATACGGTTACAAAAGCCACCAATTTGCTTAGCCAGTAGTTTATCTTCTCTCTTTTCCCCATTTTCAGGCTTTCTGGGATATGTAGATCAGAGCAAATAAATACACACCTTGTATGTTTTGAAGGCAAATTGATCTGCGTACCATTTTCGCACTTCAGGATTGGTAAAATCCAAGTAACAAGAGGAACCTGTGGATGTGGGAGATCCCAGTTATTACCTGATTTTCAGAGCATGCATGCATTGTCTTCGCAGCTGTGCACAGTGGCCTAAAGCTAGGACGTTCTCCACCATGGGCTGAGACAAAAGCTCAAGAGTAAATTCCAGGCTGACTTGGAACTCAGTACACCCCTTGCCATGTTCTGCAGACCAACACGTGTAGATTCTGGACGTCTGAAGCTCAGCACCATTTAAGGATGACTCTAGCAGTCTGAATATGTCCAGATGTGAACAGGAAGCCAGGGAGAGACAGCATCCCTGGAATTTTAAGGTCAAACAGGAAAGTGTCACTGAGAAGCTACATCCTCTATGCTACTAAAAGTTGTAATTCGTCCTTGATTTTTCTGATATTAATTCCTTTGCCAGGATTGTGGGCTTTCTGTCTGAAAAGAAGGGGGAGAACTGCCTTTGCCTCCCCACAATGAGATCTCTTAATTAAAAATAACATGTGAAATCACTGTATTATGATTGAATCAAAGTCTTTAGAATTGGGGTTCACTTAATTTCATCCAGCCTACATCAGCTGTGCTCACTGCAACAGACCAGACTGCATTTCTGTTACCCAAGATAAGCTGGGAATGGCATGTCTGTTCTGATCAATAAATCCAACTTTTTTAGCTCCAGGCACTGGGACTATCTGCGGAGCCAACAGACATAACCGAGGAGGTTGTACAGCTGAAGCAATTAGAACATGACTGTACCAAAGAAATCACAAAGTATTTAAAATTATGAATATTTACCAAAAAAATGCAAGGAACATAAGAATTTCATTCCACTTCCATGGTTCTCAATTAAACTATTCTGCAAAATTTTTAAAATAAACAGCTTGGAATGTAGAGACAGAGTGGGTTTTTTTTACCTGGCCAACAGATGCCCTCAAAATCTTGCCCATTTCTGTCTTTCACAAAATATCCCTTGTCCTTTGCCTGTGAATACAGGGTATACGTGGGGTCAGCCTTAATGTGGGGATCTACAATGACGACAAGCTGCCAGGGTAAGAAAATAAAATGCACCATTAGCATCAACTGTACTGGATAAGACAGTAAGAGTTCACTCTTGATAAAAGGCAGATAACGAGTTCACTTCAGGTAAAGAAAGCAGCTGTGTCACTAATTTTAGAAAGCAGTTACCAATGCTTGTGTATGCTGTGCTAGACTTATTTATAATTGCTGAATTTACAAGGAGTGCATGAATTCATGCTTACCCCTCTGAAATATGGGCCAAAAAACCAGTTTCAGATAAAAGCAAGTACCCAAACCCCTAAAAACAGTGTTCAATTCACTGCTGTATTCTGTGAATGGGAAAATACCTGATTTCCATGTTCATGTCCCTGCTTAAAATAATTTGTCTTAAGACATTTACATCTATCTTAGTTTACATAGCAAACAACAGAAATAGAAATTTCTAATTTTTAAAAATATCCACGTATTGTGTTTTGCGGTTCCTTTCTGCTGCCATTAACTGCCTTGCTGTAAAGCTGAGAAAGTACTACAGCTCCAACTAAGAGATTATAAAATTGGAATGCTATTTCAACAGTCCCCCGTTCATTTACTTTTGGCAAAGATCAAGCATTAAGCAATTGTGCAACTTTTAGATATTAACTGTGTACATTTTAATACATCTATAATTTCAGGGAAAATATTTTAGCTGTAAAAGCAGAAATAAAGACTGACTAAGCTAACAGACTGCACATCATACCAGGACTTCACCAGAAGGAAAAAAAAATTAGTTTATGGTAAGTAATCATATCAACATAAAGGACAAATCCCAGTTAGTATAAGCAGAAAATAAAAAGTCGTATCAATGTATAAGAAAAGCTGAAGCAAGGATAGCCAACTACCAGTGGTGAAAGCTCATGTTAAGTAGAAAGATTTTCTACTGTGCCCATCAAGGACAGCACTGGGCTGCTTCTGTAAGACAGAGCTTCACATGGGCCAAACATAGCCTGGTGGTCAGCGTACAGAACAAATTATGAAATAATAAAACAGCACGAGGAGCTGAATTAATAGCTTGCACACTGGAAGCAGACCCCAATGCAGTCTAATTTGCTGTTGTAGTTAAACTGTTTCCAGTATCGGAAGTACCTTGGTTAAAGCTAGATTGGGTAGCTTCACACTACAGAGAAATATTTTGTTTCTTCCTGCTATATTATTTACCTTCCGTTTTTTCTTCCTGAGATGTTCTTGCATCTTTCTGGGGTTCTGGAATTTCTTTTTGTCCCAAGTAAAATACCTCTTGTCATCTGTGTGCTCTATGTCCAGCCATATCACATCATAAGGAATGTCATGTTCATCAAAGCCAGCATCTACTGCCTTGACATCTTGCTCATCCTCGTAATTCCACCGGCACTGATGGTAGCCCAGAGAAAAAAGCGGGGGCATGGCTTGAGTGCCTAGAAAGAATACATGAAGAAGATAACACTGTTAATGCCATTCAGGATTCTCTCTAGAGACTCTAGAAAAGTTAACATGAGTAATATGTAACTGTCTGGAGCTAGAAAATGCTGGCCTAAGTTGAATCTAGAGCATGTACTTCATACCCAACTGACTAAACTCTTGAAATAACAAATGTTACAACAGGCTCAACAACCAGGAAGAGCAGTGTGCTGTAATGTTAATACAAGAGTGAGAGGGAGCTTGCTGTTCCATGATGCTGAAGTTTTATTCCAGTAACCAATATAATTTTATTCTTATTTTTTTTCTCATGTAAAAATACTCTAAATGAGCTTAACTGTCATTAATGCAAACAATTAAATAGACTTTAATCAGTAGAATGCAATTCCTGTGACTGCGTGAACCTGAGTAGCGTAAACAGGCCCACAGGTGCTGCAGTACAAGGAGAACCATGGAATTGCAATTGTCAGGAATTTTTAAAATTAGAAAACACGTATGTATGTATGCATATAGCAAAACGGGCTGGGAAACTTCCCCAAGTGTGCAGTTCTGCTTGGCGAGATCCTCTTGTGATCTGCCTGCTTTCCTATTCCTGTTCAGCCAAACCACATTCTCTCTGTAACATCTGTGCAGCACACAATCATTGTCAATGCACTGAAGAATTACCAGGGATGTTTCTGTGCTTTTAATTCTTTTTCGTACATAAAGAATTTTGCTTTCATAAAATGTTAGTCCTCTTGCCTCCATGTTTTCTGTGCTCTTCCTGAGCCTCTTGCTTCTTTCCTTTCCCGTACCTGCATGCCATCTCTGCTCCCTTCCCTAATGGACACACTGGGCAGGTACTCATCTTTTTCTACTCTCCAGGATACATTACTCCATAAACTTCAGTCTTTTCTTATTACAAGGTGTCTGTTCTTGATGGTGACTGGCAGTTCTATACCCCGGTGTCTCTTCTCTTCATCTAAGGGGCAGTTGCAGATAGCACTAATGCTGGCTTCTCAATTAGGACCAAGGCAGACCAGCTGCAGGTGCTAGGGAAAACAAGGATGGTGGCTTGTCTTCACAAAGCACCACCTTTTGCTCTACAAACTACAGTTTGGAACAACTGCCCTCCTGCACACAATGGGCTGGGTAAATATTAACCCACGCTTGGGTACAGCATGTTCCTCTGAGAATCTGCCAGGTGAATGTGCCACGCGGACTCCAACTATGCGAGTTAGTACCTGTCAGTTGTGCAAACTGCTTGAAGACATCAAATGCAGTGGGTCCCATCAGCAAAAAAACATCAATGATCCCACTTTCTGACATCCACCGCACATCAGTTAGAGGCACTGCTCTCTGCTTAGCAGTCTCTGCAGCAGATCCAGATGCCACGTGCTTTGAAGGAAACCAAGGTACAACTGAATAGCTATCTCTATGAAACTTTTGTTCAGTGAAGGAGCAAAGACGGAAACCTGCAAAATTCACTAAAACATACCTGGCAGGTCTTAGGAATACACAGTGAACATTTCTTATATATCCTTCACAAATCCTTTACCTTGCATACTGCTTATACAAAATACAGAGTAATAGTTAATGACAAAAAATGGGTAATGAAGGGCAAAGTAATTAAAGCTTTTCTGTAATTAAAGACTATGCATTTTCTGCAGGATCTTTGAGTAATACCTGTAACTATATCACGAGTAATAAAACTAATAATTTTAACCATGTAATGAAGTGCTGGAATAAAGCACTTTTTTTTTTTCACTGTTTCAGTTTTAACAGCAATAATATATTTGTGTTTCAAGAACTGAGTTCATTGCCTGAACATTTTATGTTTCTTGAAGGTCTGTTACATTCCACAGAAGAATGAGCCTGCTAAGCAGAAATGAGTGGCAACTCCAGGAATTTAAAAACTCAGAAAAATTCCTCAAATCCAAGAGATTGTAAATATTTTCTTTCTTCTGCCTGCTATATCCACCTGAGTAGATTTTTTTCTGCTCCAACATTACATATTTCCTCTCTGCCTTCTCCCTAGACCTGTTAAAATACAAGTTCTATAACTTAACTCTTGAACGGAGTCATCTCCTTGTTCTTTTCAGTGGTTTAATACAACAAATTTAGCAGTAGGGAGGGCAGGTGGAAGAGACTGACAATTCTTCATTAGGGAGCAAAAGATAAATCTACAACAATGTTGCCATGTTCCTGTTGGCCCTGCCCTGGAATGTTTTATTTCACTATTAAATTCCGAGGAAAGTGAGCAACTCTCACCTCAGCTACTGCCTTTGTACTAATATCCACCAGCGTTTCTGAAGAGTTCAGCCAGAAGATCCCTGAAGTTCTGTTAGGCTTGTGTGCTAAGAGGAGGGGCACTGACCCATAAATGCCTATTTTGTCATGTATCTTGTGACCGAAGATATCCAAATTATAAAGCCGGTAAGCATCACCATCACTAGGACAAACAAACAGATGTCTTTGTTATATGTAAGCATCCTGCACTAGGGCAATTTTAGCTCTGTTGCCATTCCACTAAACTCAGTGAACACTCTGTATTATGGTCTTTTATTTGGCATCCAGAGCTGAAATGTGGACAGCCTAGATTACTGCTTCTTTGCTCTGGTCCTAGCTATCTGAATCAAACAACATTTTTGCTGCCAGTGAGACTATTGCTCATTTGCTGTAAGTCCTAGAATAAGAATTCTGATTCCAGAATCAGAATACAATCCTCTCATGGAGTTCCTCTTTTAAGTATTCTACTTAAATATGATGAATCCTGCAATTCTGAAAAAAACTGCATGGAAAATTGAGAGAGAACAGAAGGTGTCATTCGTGAAATTTCAGAGTGGAAAGGGAAAGAAGAACAACTTAATCCACATGGACAGAGGCTATGATTCAGCTTGCTGTATCATTCAACTAAAATGTATGGTATAAATACACATATCTCAAGATGCTGTCTGCATTAAATTATTAAGACAATGTTATAGCTCTCCTCTACAGAAATGATACTGCTTTCACTAGCACTCTGCCACTTTTACCTGGTGTTTTTGAGAAGAAGTGCTTCTGTGTGTTGTGGTATTCCATAAACATGGTCAAATCCATGTAAAGAGAAGTCCATGCCTACAGAACTAGGACCTGTGGAAAAGCATTAAAAGAGAAAACCACAGAGTTCCATTCTCAGGCTTAGCTGAAAGCAAAAGAGCAGAGCAACCTAACTGAAAAAAAATAGTAAAAAGCAGGCTTTAATAATTAGCTCTTTCATGCTTGCTCTCAACTTCACTCTCATTACTACTTATGTACTACAGAGGTACTGTTTTAAACAGATTTTACTGTATTTATTCTGATTTTAATCTGCTTAAGAAGATAAAACGAATCACTTCAACAGAAAAACAATACATGTAATAGTGAGTTGCTTCTTTATTGTGTAGTGAAACTACTTTAAATTCTCTCCTGTTTCTACCCCAGTACCTACAAGCCAAGCTTTGCAGCACAGTGGTACAGCAGAGCGGACTGCAGAGTGAGAGGTGCCCGTTTCCTACTGCCCTTCTCTTCAGCCTCAACCAGGGGAGTAGCAGGCACAAGAGCCTCTGCCAGTGATATCATCTTGTCACATTACTGAATCCAGAGCACTTCTGGCAGGTGACCAGAGATCCTGTAGACTGACAAGCAGTGGCTTCAGGATCAGAACCTGACAATACAGGCATTATTCCTCCAACAGAGAGAAACAGAAAAAACATGATGCTGGCCTAGTACATCAGATAGAGTATGAACAACAAGGGCAACAGCTTCCTGCCCCTCTGTGTCTTGACTGTGAGGTGAAGAACCCCCTGTTACCAAAAAGAAGCTCTTTTAGACTTCCCTCTCCCTACTGCAGTTGCTCGGTAGTGCTAATTTATTTTAAATAATAATATTATAA